GATTCATTTGTGTTAGCAATTAAAACAAAACAAAACAAAACTCAACTAGAAAGGCTGTCATCCACATCTCAGTAAATTAGCTTAATAAACCTACTTTTCTAAATGTAGCTGAAATCAGTCAGATAGAGAGAATGGGAGTTTTGAGAGGTGAGGAAAAGACATGAGAACTGATTTGGAAGATATCGCACTAAGTCAGAGAGAATGCAGGGAACGGGCATCCAGAGGAAGGAGAGGATCTCTGAAAAGAAAGGGGACACTTCAAGGTCAAAATCTTCAAGTACAAGGACCCATTAACTTTCTAATACTTTCAGAAAATGAACCTAATTTCTAATGGAAGCTGCCTCCAGAATGTTCACTCACTTCAAAATTCTCCCTAGGGCTGATTGATCCTTCCACATTTTCTTCCCTCAGAGGGAAGAAAAGATCCAAAGAGGAGGCTCTGCTACCATCTCTCTACATCATGGCTGTTATGTCACTTAAGTAGTCTGATCCCTAACTTCATCACAGTTATTCTGTCCCCTTGGATTGTCTTGGGTGGTCAGGGTTAGGGAGGGATGAAGGACAGGAGAAGGGGGCTTGTTATGGCCATTCGACAGAGAAAGAAAGGAAGGTATAGATAAATAAAGATTTAAGGAAAGGAAGACACAAGGGGGAAGAGAACTAAAAAAAGATACGCTTCTAACTGATATATGCCAAGAATGTTACTCAGTTACTAACTATTCCATTTTATTCACTTGGTTGGCTACTGCTCACAGTAGCTTGAAATTCCAAGTACATCCTTCATTGTTAATCTCCAGATTTCCCCTTTCACTTATTCCCCATTATTAAAAGAAAAATTTTCAATAGTTGTTTAATTGCATTTTCTGTTCCTTTAGATTCTAAACATTGTGGGTAAAACTAGGTTAAGTGTAGTCAATGCAAGGTCAAGGTCTTCAGGCACAAAAAATCCATTAAATTTCTAATTTAATGAACCTAATTTCAAACGAAAGCTGCCTCCAGAATATATGGTTAAGCGTGTTCTGGGTATAATTTGTTTTGGCGAACACTACAGAAATTCACATAAAATTTCACTGAACTAAAAGTAAATTGCCCACCTAGCAAAAGATATTTTTCAAAAGCTTCAAATGAATCCTAAAGGATGACAATTCTTGGAGAGAAATAAAGTATGGGTGAGTTAGAAATTGTAATTCTGGGTCATCTACCTCAATTAGAGAGACTATCTATGTTTAATTTGGTTGTGGTTAACACAGTTGATTTGGAGGCCTTATTTAGACACAATCTGAAATACCAAAGTTAAATCTCTATATCTATGTGCTTTACAGTGAAAGAAATGAAACAAAATTTTCTTCAAAGTATTAAAAACCAAAATTGCAATTATTAATGAAGTACTAGAATGTGAAACTGTTTTTCTCTTCAAAATATCTTTTAGCAGCTGTAACTTCTCTGATTCATTACTTTTCTTATTCTGGCCCCCCAAAACATCAATACAAATAAGATAAAGTTTTCCTAAAGCACCCTTCATGAACCCCTAAATGAATCCCTAAATGCAAAATCTCATGAACCCCTAAATGCAAAATTTCACTGACTGTGTAGTGGGCAGATAATCACTTTGTCTGCTGAATCACCTTACTGACAGATTTTGAGGAAAATATTTTTACATGCCACTCTCAAACTTGTTATCAGAAATTTTTATGCAAAAAAATTTGCAAACTTGTAAACTCTCACATTGCCTAATTTTTCCTCACCAAACCCACTATGATATAGCTAAAAGGGAATAACTTTCATTAATTTTCCTACAAATGAAAAAGACTGATAGGTTACAAATTATGCATGATTTTTAATTACAAGTAAGCTGGACAGAAACATCTACTTTATTCAAAGTTGAGGAACAGCCAATGGAAATTTCCCTCTAATTTAGAACTTAAATGCCTTTTCTTTTTCTTCTCTCTCTTTCAAGATCTCATCTCATCCTATCATCACCACTCCAGTTCACAGACCTTCAGTCTTGCGACTTTCCATCCTTCAAGACCCAGCTCAGGCATCTCCTCCATGGAGCCTTCCCAGGTTGCCTCGGGCACCATGATTTCAAAGCACCTACTGCTTATGTCACTAACCTACAGCTGGGAGGCATTACTTGAGTAATATTCAAGCTTTCTATTGACCACTTGTCACGGATGCTGTTCAAGCAATGAATGATGAATCGGATTAGATGTCCTGAGAACCTGATTATCAATTTCTTCACTTATGCTCCCAACTAGACCACGGACTTCTTTTAACAGTTATCACCTTGTTGTTTACCCTCTTCACATCCCTACAGTGGCCCTTTAATAACATTTATTATTTACATAAGGGTTATGAAATTTTATCTACTATGGTTATCCTGGTGGACTATAAGGATGGTTGCATCCACTTGTATAGAAGGAAAAGATCTCCCCTGAACTGAGTAATCATTTTTCAGTTATCTGGGTAAAAGGCCTATATCTGAGACTGGAAATGGAAACCACGAGTCCAAAAAGATGGGACTGGGCACTCTTGATTTTACTGGTAGCAGGGCCAAGGAGACAACTCCCCGGTAGTGGTGGCCAATGGCATAACCATACGATGACCATCAGGGCATCAGAAAAGTAGGAAAGCTGGGTAGGTGCCATTAGAGTTACAACGTAAATACCTCAAATGCCAGGACCCAGGATCAAAAAGCAATATTCTGTAAACTTTTTTCAAAAAAATGCTTCAACATCCTCTAAATTTCCCTTTTGTTTTCTACACGTATTAGGTAAAGTTGTTTTGAAAATCCAGTCTACCTCAACTCTGTCAAGGGAAATCAATGAAAGGTTTTGCCTTTGCCTGAGCAACCAGGGGGCCAGAAAAGGGGCCAGGTGGCAACACACAAGAAAGTTAAAGAAACCTTATGAATGGGAAAACCTGGAAGAAGAATAAGAGCCACCTGCTCTGTTCTAAACACTGGAAGGTTGAGAGCGTGTTTTACCAAGGACAGCAGCATTTTAAAACAAACACTGCATTATTTCGAATGAGTTCCATTTCTCACACCAAAAAAAAAAAGTAGTCCTGCATAAAAATTAAAAGGGTATTATTTGCAAAAATTCAGAGAATACATGCTACATATTCTCTCTACAGTACAGAGTAACACATTATTGAGTAAAGATTATCATACTTTTATGAATAATAAGCTTTTCCCCCTCGACAGTATAAACAAGGTTCATTTTCTGAAATATTTTCCCAAACACTATTCTTCCACCATAAGTAATATTGAAGCTCATCTAAAAGATTGCCAGGTAGTTCTTTCTATAGTTACTCTGGATATTCTTTTCAAATGACAAAACGTGTCTTATATGTTGTGAAATAGCTCTTCTGTTTTACGAACTACTTTTAAAACTACTGAAAAAAAATTATTTTAGAATTAAACTATCTAGAAATTTCCTTACTCTTGCCCCAATAATGTAAAATATATTCATATCTGTTAAATTCAAATAAATCCACACTTAAAAGTTATTTACTTATGACATATAAATTTATATTACAAGTTATATAAATTATATGCTTAAAATATTTAGGCATACATTCTTAAATTAATCTTAAATATAAATTCTCAAGATAAATATATTAATATCTCAGTGCTTCACATCTTTAAATCTGTGAAACACTCCATGGGAAGCAACAGAATAGTGATGCAATTCTCAGGTGAAAATTGCTAAAACTTCTTGAAATAGTCAAATAATTGTTAAACCCACTGGTTTTGAAGTTAGAAAAACTGAGTAAATCTGTAAAACTGGATCAAGTTTCTCATGTACACTTTAAAGATTACCTAAAGATTTATGTTAAAGCACTAAATTTAAAAAAGATAACATCAGTGTGAATTTGGGGTAACCATTTTCCCTGGAACTTTATGGAATAGAGTTCTCCCTTCCAGAAGAAAACTTATTAATTTTTTTTAGAAACTTCACTCAATATATTTCTTTTAAAAGCAAAATATTTTATATATTTCGTATATCTAGGAAATGGGATATTTAGCCAAGTGACTATGCTGAAAACTAAAAAACATTAACTAAAAAAATAATTAAAAACTATAAAAGTAGAAGACATCAGTAAAATACACTCTATACAGAACACTAATCATACACTGTGCACATTTCTTCATACATAAAACGTACTTGCAGAACTTTAGTATTAGCATAACAATAAATTATTATACAGCATTTTAGGGGAAAATCTGGTTATTCCATATTCCTGATTGAATTCTGTGTAAACAGAAATTAACTATAAGGACTATTTTTGGTATAAAAGGTAATCCAAGCCAAAAGTGTTTAAGAGATAACCTGAGATTTTAGAAGAGAGATGTGTACAATCAAAATGGAAGCTCCTTAAATCAACTGGCAATAAAATATTGGACCAGAAATAGTAATGATTATAAACTGCCATTCTGCCACTGTTATTGATATTAACCAAAGTATTAGGGAAGAGAAAATACTAGAGAAGTATCAATAATACTTTTGGATTAGAATGAAAAAAAAGGAGATCTGAATAGAATTGAAAGTTATCATTGCTAATTAAAAAACAATTGGGTTGGGCTTCTCTGGTGGCGCAGTGGTTGAGAGTCCGCCTGCCGATGCAGGGGACACGGGTTCGTGCCCCAGTCCGGGAAGATCCCATATGCCGCGGAGCGGCTAGGCCTGTGAGCCATGGCCGCTGAGCCTGCGAGTCTGGAGCCTGTGCTCCGCAACGGGAAAGGCCACAACAGTGAGCGGCCCGCGTACCGCAATAAAAAAACAAAACAAAACAAAACAATTGGGTCTACAGAATAGCAATTCTTCAAAATGCAGCACATAACTGGTAAGCAGGGATATGTGGCAGGCAATCCTCTGCATTTAAGGGAAAAAAATTAGGCAATTTCAGGGAGTTCTTGACTTGTCATTTCTCTGGGGGTCTTTCAACTTCATTTGTTCCCTTTATATAAAGGAAAGTAAAAGCTGACTTCAAGGTACCATCACCACCCTGTTGTGAAAAGCAGAGGAAAGTGGCCCACAGAAAACCACAGAGCCCAGTGTAAGCTGTTCTCCAGTGAACAGGAACGAGGCTGAAGTTGGTCAGCTATAACAGAGAGAGAAAGAGTCTTTTAGGGCTCCATATAAACCAGACCCATGAGTTGGCATTCTAAGTAGTTTGAAACTCACCTGTACAAAAGGCCAGTACATCAGACCACTCTGGAATAAAGAAAAACTTTATTAGGATGCTTTTTAATCGCACAAAACGATCACACAGTTCTTTCTATAAAGCATTAAGAAACACCAGGCGGGTGGAATGTGGACGCGGTATTACATTTCAGACTAAGCAGATTAAATTAGACTTATGGTCTCTTGAGTGGAAGAGGGTAAGGAGTTGTACAAACAGCCGTTAGGCACAGGAATAAAGATTTTTATTATATTCACAAATTTACAATAAAAAGTCTACCTGAATCAGTACCAATTCTGGAAGACAACTGCTTTCAAAATAACAACACATACTTATTTATTTAAATTTATTTATATTTTACTTTTGGCTGCGTTGGGCCTTCGTTGCTGCATGCGGGCTTTCTCTAGTTGTGGCGAGGGGGGGCTACTCTTTGTTGTGGTATGCGGGCTTCTCATTGCGGTGGCTTCTCTTGTTGTGGAGCACGGGCTCTAGGCGCGCAGACTTCAGTAGTTGTGGCATGCAGGCTCAGTAGCTGTGGCTCACGGACTTAGTTGCTCCACGGCATGTGGGATCTTCCTGGACTAGGGCTCGAACCCATGTCCCCTGCATTGGCAGGCAGGTTCTTAACCACTGAGCCACGAGGGAAGTCCACAACACATATTTATATATTGTAATTTTCCTGTTTGCCCATGCAAATGATGCAAGGGAAATACTGATAAAATACAGGATCATCAATCAATTTTTAAAACTCTAAACTGTTCTTTATGGTGATTTGATAATAATATATTCTAACTACTTCATGCCACAGAATAAGTTTAGCTTTTAAGATGTATTTATTTGTGGGAATTCCCTGGTGGTCCAGGGGTGAGGACTCGGGGCTTTCACTGGTGGGGCCCAGGTTTGATCCCTGGTCAGGGAACTAAGATCCTGCAAGCCACGTAGTGTGGCCAAAAAAAAAAAAGATGGATTTATTTTAACAGGCTTTAACCTGTTCATTCTGACAAAAGAGTCATCATTATGGATTTTTTTTTTAAATATAGAGATCTTGGTATGTAAATTATATCTTAAAAAAAAAAGCTAGAGGTTTTTAAAATAGTCCTTACAAGTGGTATTACACTAGTAATATAAAGGTGGTGTTATTTTTTTGTTTTTACTAATTTTTATTTTCTAAAGTTTCTATAATAAACTGTTGCAATAAAAGCTATTTAAAGTTTAAAGTGTATACTCATTTAAGAATTTACTACTTTAGGGGCTTCCCTGGTGATGCAGTGGTTAAGAATCCGCGTGCCAACGCAGGAGACATGGGTTCGAGCCCTGGTCCGGGAAGATCCCACATGCCGTGGAGCAACTAAGCCTGTGCACCACAACTACTGAGCCTGTGCTCTAGAGTCCGTGGGCCACAACTACTGAAGCCCACGTGCCTAGAGCCCGTGCTCTGCAACAAGAGAAGCCACCGCAATGAGAAGCCCGCGCACCGCAACGAAGAGTAGCCCCCGCTCTCAGCAACTAGAGAAAACCCGCGTGCAGCAGCGAAGACCCAATACAGCCAAAAATTAAATAAATGAATAAATAAATAAATTTATTTTTTTAAAAAAGAATTTACTACTTTAGGAAAAACCCATCCAAACATGGCTTCACTTCTTATGGCAATTTTTTTTCTTCAGAATGTAGCCTCACTCAGTGTGCAGATCTTGGTCTCCCATGCCATTCCCCACAAAAAGGAAAAAGGACTCCTCAAAGAAATGGTTGATTCCAGGGCCAGAGTAGGGCAGGTACAAGGTACAAGATGAGCCTAGAACATCTATCTTTATGATATAAAGTAAGGAAGTGGCTTAAAAAAAAAAAAAAGATGGGGGGACTATCACAAGGAAATAGGAGCCAGCTTGAAGCAACTCTCACTGGCCAAGTCGGGGACATTTGCAAAACAAAAATAATTAAACACAGCAATGAATTATAAACCATCAAAAAATTGGGAATCCCTGAGTCCCTACTGATAACAGAGAAATAAGCAAATAACTGGGACAGAAAAGTGGGCTCTTGCTTACAGAATGCTGCGTGCTACCCAGTAAATGCGGATGGGTCACCGTAGATGTGTCCTTGCCCATCAACCCTACTTCCAATCCATCAAGACCTACCAATTCTATCTCCTAAGTATTTTTGAAATCCTTCCTCTGCCCACTGCTTCATGATTTCTTACGTGAACTTGGTCACAGTAACCCTCTAACTCGTCTCCCTTGCCAGTAATCACTTAAGTTCAAGATCCTTGGCATGGCCTTCAACACCTTCCAAGATCCAAAGTCATTTGCAGCTGTTCCTCAATTCATATCTTATATTCTATGAATAGCATCTCTTGTAGTTTCTCCCTTACAGGTACACCACAGTGTTTTATGCATTCCTTCCTCGGCTCCTTCTGCCCCTGGAAAGGCCCCAGGTATCCGCCTAACTCCCCTGAGTTCTTTAAGACTCCGCTCAGGCATAACCTGCCCCCGGAAGCTTTCCTTGAGCCACACCCTTACATCTCCGTGCTGTGCTAAGTACCCATTTGCATGCTCTGAGCACTGCTCCTGGCATTGAGGTTAATGTTTGTCTATTTACTTGTCTATCTACCCCACTACATTGTAAGTCCCTTAAAGACAGTAGCAATGTGGGTGCGTGTATATCTCTCTATATCTGTATCTATATCTATATATGTTTTGTGTTATCCTCTGCTAACACCTAGTGCAATACCTAGCAGATAGTTTCTTGTTATGGGAGATCTTCAGGAAAGTCCCCAAATGGTGCTGGGCATCAGACTGCCGGTACCCTCTTTCTTCTCAAGGGCATAGATACAACTGACTCATTTGGAACCACTGTTTTTGTTGTGTTTTGCTTTTTGTTTTTGTTTTTTTTTAAATATTTATTTATTTATTTGGCCGTACCAGGTCTTAGTTGCAGCACCCAGGATCTTCGTTGCCGCGTGCGGGATCTTTAGTTGCGGCATGTGGAATCTAGTTCCCTGACCAGGGATCGAACCTGGGCCCCCTGCATTGGGAGTGAAGAGTCTTAACCGCTAGACCACCAGGGAAATCCCAGAACCACTGTTTTTAAAAAGGTGTGTAAAAGTCGCCACGTTTCTACCCAATGAAGATAGCCTGTATGTCTTCATCAAAGAAGGAGAATCTGAAACATCTGCAAATCCTTGGTCAAAGCCCCTTTCTTTTACAACTCTGCTTGGCTTGCTCTTCGTATAAATGTATAAATGTCAGATGTACCTATCTCCATGAGATCTATGACATCATGGGCAAATTTGTTCCTTTCCCAAAGTAAAGCAGAAGAAAATCATATTTGGATGTCACCATGGGCCCATAATTTTTGCCTCAAGAGAAGTAACAAGAGTTCTGAATGCTTTTCCCCCCAGAGGGGCTCGGCAGCATGTGGCTTCCACCCTCCCTGTCATCTGCCTTCAACCACCAAGCGGGTGATAATGGTTCTCATGCTCGGAATAGTTTAACAGAAGATGCTGGGGGTGTGGGTGAGGGTGGCGGGATGGCTGGGGGTGGCTTGGCACTGCTTTTGATCAGGAATTAAGTAGATGTGGAGCCCTAGACAAGGCTGTGTATATTCTGGAATCCTGAAAATTCACCTCATTGTCATTAATAGAATCAAATAGAATCAAACATTGTCATTAATAGAATCACACTAGGCCAGAGATGGAAAGCATCCCTGACTCTGCCAGGTCTTGAGGACACTGCTCAATAAATCTTCATTGAATAAATGAATAGGTATTTGTGGGATTGGATCATATATATATTTGTACTGAGCAAACAGGACAAGAGGTGACTTGATTCCAGCCTCAGGATAACCCTGGGAAACATTTTCCTTTTCTGTAAATACCTCTGTGATGTCAAGAAGTTCCTTTCATAGGGACTCAGCAGAATGCACACTTGGAAACATCAGCTCTAAATGTGAGAATGATTCCATTAAGCCACTCACATTCTACTATTCCTATTTTGCAATAACTTCTTTGGCTCCAAAAAAATCACCGTGATCACTAACAAGAATAAATATAAGAATGTCAGAAATCGTTGTGAACATTGACTAAAATTCAGAGACACATATAGACACTCTTAAAGCTTCTCATTCAACTATCAAAACAAATTTAAGATCTGTCAAAATATAGTACCCTGTGCCAACCAACTGGAGCCCTAATTTAAGATTTTTTTTTTTTTTTTTTTTGTGGTACACGGGCCTCTCACTGTTGTGGCCTCTCCCGTTGCGGAGCACAGGCTCCAGACGCGCAGGCTCAGCGGCCATGGCTCACGGGCCCAGCCACTCCGCGGCATGTGGGATCTTCCCAGACCGGGGCACAAACCTGCATCCCCTGCATCAGCAGGCGGACTCTCAACCACTGCGCCACCAGGGAAACCCAAGAATATTTTTATTTAAATGTATTTAATGTTAAAAAGATACAAAAAGATCCTGGTCGTATTTTCAAAAGTCTGTCTTACCTTATATGTATTCCAGAATTTCTGTCTCAGGTCCAAAAACATGTCATCCTTTTCCTGGAGAATACTCATACCTATTTGAAAAAACACACACCAGAAGAATTGTAAAATATTTAATACGAAGAATACTGTATAACAGCTCATGTTCAAGTTTTCTATTCCAATATGCAAGGTAACCACCACTATCACTAACTCAGTATGTTCCGTCTGACCCAACAGTGAAAACAAAAGATAATCTCCATTCTAAAGTTAGGTAAATTTTAAAGTGATGATAAATATGAACTGAGAATAGCAGGGTACCGAGTTATAGCAGAATGATTATTTTTTTTAAAAGCTGTTAGAGAATTCACAAAAACCTCAGTGTTAGCATGGTGGGACTATTGGTGACTTTTCTTCTCTCCCTTCAAAACATGTTGTGAAATGTTTAAAATTAAAAAAATTTAATTTCCTTCTTTTACAAAAAGGCTGCTGGACTCTGGGTATTCTAGCAACTGCAGATTTCCCATCTAAGAGACTTTCTAAATGGAATTTGAAAGCAGAACACCAGTTCAGACTTCCTAAAAACATCTGGAAAACTTTGACGTTCAACAACCCTGAAAAGGAAGTCAGGGAACAAGGACAAAACCCTCCTATTTTAGGAAAGGTGTGAAAATGACAGTGCTTTAAAAAGTCTCCTCCAACTCTGATTAGGAAGAAGGGGAAATAAAATCTTTTCAGTCAATTGCAGGGGATTCTTAGAACAGGACCGGTAAGAAAACCGAGCCCAATATTGGTAATAGTATTCCACTTACCCAGCACTAATTAAGGGCTAAGCACTTGATGTGTTTTCTTTCATCTGACTCTCCTAACCCTCAGCTAAGGATGATGGAGTTGCAGAGGAGGAAAAGAGCTCAGAGAGGTTGACAGTGATCCAAGTCCAACCCAGGTGTGGATTCCGAGCCAGACCTTTCAATCACAACTATTCTACCTCCCAAGGCAGCCCCAGCACAAAGGAACATCTGATACAGGCAATTTCCAGGTCTGAAGTGCCTTGAACAAACATCCAACCCACCCCCTTCCCACCATTCCCCCTTCAGTTTAACATGAGGAGAGGGAAACAGGGCCCAGAAATCTGAAATGCAAAACAAAGAAGCAATGTGGGCAAGAATTGGTTTCAGGGGCCTCGGGCTTGAACCACAGGCCCCAGCAGCCCTGTGACTGCAGCATCTTTCTGGTTTCAGGAACGCTGACATCCCCCAGGGAGATGAAGACCATAACATGGATTGTGTTGCTTTCGGGCAGGTCGTTTATCCCTTTGAGCCTCAGTTTCCTTGTCTGTAACATGGGACTAACAATACCTGCCTCACTGGGTTGTTTGAGGATTAGATAGGAATCTGACTCCCAAATGCCAGCAGCTCCCAACCCTCCATCCCATCACCAGAGTACAAGGGCACTGCAGTAACAGGCATGAGGAACCTGTTTGCCAATCTGGCCTGGAAGTCACGCGCTGGGATCAGAGACAGATCTTCTGATAAATCAGGCAGCTCCTGGTCTCAGGTCCTCTATCCCCTGACCTCACTGACCCCATGGGCCATGTGGTTGGCACTGCATCAGGCATGTTTCCTGTGGAGTCTGTGAGTGACTCTGGCCCCCAAAATAAGATCCAAGGGGCAGTGTAGGTTCCTTCAAAGTGGTGACTTGACCACTTCAACACAGTTTAGAAGAAAGCACCAACAGCCACTGACAAGACCCCTTGGGGGATCTGTGATCCCCAATGCCAAGGCCAGGCCCAGGACCCTTGAATTTTCTTAGGGGATTGGGTGCCCCTCCCCTGCCCACTCCCTTCCAAGCAATAGAAAACGCTATGAAGATGAAGGCCACAGAGCCCTTGACATTGTTTTTAGAATTTAGGGCGCTAAGAAAGGTTCCCAAAGTCAGGCCCTCAGGCTCCAGGGTGGACTTTTTGAGGAGGGGGCTCCCCAGATCCTCACAGGTACAGAGTCCTCTCATGGCAGGGGTCCGAGGTCTCCTGACATTTTCTGTGGGTTTTGATATGGGGATGGGACCCCCTTCAGGGAAATCTTGTTACAAAAGCAGGACTACCGCCCTAAGCACACATTTTGAGGGGAACCGGGCCGCACCTCAGATTCCACCGGCTCTGCCCGCACCATCCTGAATCCCCTCACCTTTTGTTTGTATGTTGAAAAGGAGTATCCCGCCAGTGGAAAGGAGACCCCGCCCCACAACATGGTCACGGGGCTCACAGCTGACATGGTAGCAAGCTGGGGTCTCCTCGACGTTCCCGTGGACCTTTATCAGGGGAAAATGGATCACCAGCCCTGCCTCCCCACTTCCGGCCTACGTACGCCCCAGGCCCCCTGAAACCTCCAGCCCCAGACTACGGGCAACCCAGCGTCCGAACTGCGACCTGGCCCCCTAATTCCTGGTCTCTCCGGCAACCTTCCCTCAATTTCTTTCCCCTCAATCCTGTTAATCCACGGTCCCCAAACTTCTCGACCCTCGCACCTCGACCTCCGGCCCTCATCCAGACCCTCCCAGTCTCCTGAACCCTGGCCCCCACCCCAGGATTCCAGCCCCGGTCCCCGGCCCCCAGAGCCCCAGGCTCCTGCCTGGTCCCAGCCCCTGAAACCCCGACCCCTGCCTCTCGTCCCCCAATTCCGGATCCGCCTCCGTCCCCCAGTTCCGGCCCCCAGGTGCCTGGCCCGGCTTCTCACCGAAGTAGAAGGCAGAGACGTACACCGGCCCGCCGAACGCCTGGTCGCACAGCACCTTGGCCAGGACGGCGCGCGGCGCGCGCCCCGGCAGCGCGCGCTCCAGCAGGCGCAGCCACACGTAGTTGAAATTCGCGTGGAAGGCCACGACCACGGTGGCCACGTGCCGCGTCTGCCGCCAGTCAGCAGGGCCGCCCCGCAGCCGCTGCTGCAGCGCGTCGCCGGCTGAGAAGAGCGCGGCGTAGAGCAGCACGTTCGTGGGCCAAGGGTAGCGCCGGACGGTGCGCAGGAGCTCCCGCCACCAGCCCGCCATGCCCATGCCCTGGGCGCCGGCCAGCGACCGCCGCCAGCTCCGGGCCACGCCCACCGCCCCCTGCCCCCTACCCCCTACCCCCCGGCCTCCGCCCTCTGCCCCCAGCCACCGGCGCACCGTCTCCCGCCACCTGCATCTGCCTCCTCTCCACGCTCGAAGGCGATTGGGCGCCCCGCGTACACCCAACTGCACCGACCAATCCCGTGGCCACTGGCGATCCTGGAGGCTGAGCTTTTGAAATACTGCTGGTCCGCATATGCATTAACCCCTTACAAGTCATGTCCAGAACAGGCAAATCCTTACAGACTTAAGGGGATGGGCAATGGGGGGGATGCGAAGTGACTGCTAACAGGGTGTGGGATTCTTTTTTGGGGTGATGAACTATTGTATAATTAGATAGTGGTAACAGTTGCACGGAAAACCATTAAAGACCCTTTTTTAAAAAATATTTATTTATTTATTTATTTATTTTTGGCTGCGTTGGGCCTTTGTTGCTGCGCGCAGGCTTTCTCTAGTTGCGGCGAGCGGGGGCTACTCTTCATTGTGGTGCGCGGGCTTCTCCTTGCAGTGGCTTCTCTTGTTCGGGAGCACTGGCTCTAGGCGCACGGGCTTCGGTAGTTGTGACACATGGGCTCAGTAGTTGTGGCCCACGGGCTTAGTTGCTCTGCAGACCAGAGCTGGAACCCGTGTCCTCTGCACTGGCAGGCGGATTCTTAACCACTGCGCCAACAGGGAAGTCCCTAATTACACTTTAAAATGGTGAATTGTATGGTATGTGAATTATATCTCAAAACGAACCAAAAAAGGTTAAAAAAGAAGGGAAAAATTGGGGGAAAAAAGTGGTGTGGGCAGAATACCAAAACTCAGTTACCAAGATGGCAGTGTATTTTAAATGTCTTAACATACAAGGAATTCACACTTTCGACACACACACTGACTATGTAACAGTCTTTAGAGACAATGTCAGAAGTTAAACTTTGAGGCCTTTCATGAATGTGAGGTGGGATTCAATGGGGCTACTGCCTTCTTTTCAGAGTCTGTGCCTCAATGAATATTACCTCCCAAATCATATGCTGAACTCCCAAAAGTAGGGGGTCATTGGAAACCCAAACAGCAGATGTAACCTCTGACCTCATGGAAATCAGTTCCTCTTTGCTTCTTTTCCTCTATTTTTCCTTCCTTCATTGTCACACCCAATTCCATTTTCATTTTCTCCCTCTCTCTTCTATTTGTTTACCCTATTTTAGTTAATTATTAATTTTTTGATTTTTAACTTTTTATTTTGAAATAATTCCAGACTTTCTGAAAACTTGCAAAAATAGTACAGAGTTTCCATATATTCTTCAACCAAGCTTCCCCAAATATTGACATCTTACATAACCATAGTACAATTTTCAGAACGACTGATGTAATACTATTACCCAATCTACAGACCTTATTCAAACTATTGCCAATTGTCCCACTAAAGTCCTTTGTCAAGGACTGGCTTTCAATTCTGGATCACTTTGCCTTGTATTGAATTGTCATAGATCACCTTAGTCTCCAATCTGGGGCACTAATCAGTTATATCGTAGACTGTTCCTCAGTTTGTCAACCCTACTGTTATGGGCTGCATTGTGTCCCCCCAAAATTCATATGTTGAAGCCCTAACACCCGGTACCTCAGACTATGACTGTATTTGGAGATAAGACCTTTAAAGAGGTGATTAAGTTAAAAATGAGGCCCTGGGACTTCCCTGGTGGCACAGTGGTTAAGAGTCCACCTGCCGATGCAGGGGACACGGTTTCAAGCCCTGGTCCGGGAAGAACCCACATGCCGTGGAGCAACTAATCCCCTGTGCCACAACTACTGAGCCTGTGCTCTAGAGCCTGCAAGCCACAACTACTGAGCCTGCGTGCCACAACTACTGAAGCCCGCGCGCCTAGAGCCCATGTTCCACAACAAGAGAAGCCACTGCAATGAGAAGCCTGCGCACCGCAAAGAAGAGTAGCCCCCGCTCACCGCAACTAGAGAAAGCCTGCGCACAGCAACAAAGACCCAACGCAGCCAAAACTTAATTAATTAATTAATTAAAACAACTTTTTTAAATGAGGCCCTTAGGATGGGCCCTAATCCAATCTGACTGGCGTCCTAATAAGAAGAGGAAATTTGGACACACAAAGAGACACGAGGGCAGTGCATGCACAGAGGAAAGATCATGTGAGGACATGGTGAGAGGGAGGCCACGTGCAAGCCAAGGGGAGAGGCCTCAGAAGAAATCAAACCAGCTGACACCTTGACCTTGGACTTCTAGCCCAGAGAACTGGAGAAAATATATTTTTAAACGCACTTTGTCTGTGGTATTTTGTTCTGACAGCCCTAGGGCCGATTAATACACCCATTCTCTTCAGTTCTTGGGAATCTGCCAATTTCTGTGTTCTTTGACCCTATCTATCCGCCCATATACTGATTCTCATCCCTCCCCTCTCCTTGTGCTTGTTACTGGTCCCAAGTAAATCTTTCTGTCAGACTTGTCCCAGCTAAGCAGGCTCCTAGCACGCACCTTTCTTTGTTTATTACTTACATTCCCCTTGTATTATTTTCCCATTGTTGCTGTGACAAGTTGCCACAAATTTGTTGTCCTCAGAGGTTTGGAGGTCAGAAGTCTAAAATGGGTCCATGGGGACTTCCCTGGCAGTCCAGTGGTTAAGACTCCATGCTTCCACTGCAGGGATCCCTGGTTGGGGAACTAAGAGCCTACATGCCACGCAGCGCAGCCAAAGGAAAAAAAAACGGGTCCATGGGCTGCATTCCCTCCAGAGGCCCTAGAAGAGAATCCATGTCCTTGCCTTTTCCAGCTTCTAGAGGCCCCCTTGCATTCTTGGATGGCCCCTTCCTTCAAAGTCAGCAGCATAGCATCTTCCAATCTCTCTCTCTGTCATTCCATTGTCACATAGTCTTTTCTGACTCTGACCCACCTGCCCTCTCTCTTAGAAGGACCCTTATGATTACATTCAGCCTACCTGGATAATGCAGGGTGATCTCCACATCTCAAGATCCTTACCTTAAGAGTCATCTATAAAGTTCCTTTTGCCGTGTAAAATAGCATATTCACAGGTTTGGTGGATTAAGACATGGACATCTTTGGAGGGCCATTATTCGTGCCTTTCTTCTCTGTAATCCTTTTGATCTCCTCTAACAGCAATTGATCACATTAGCTGAAATCAAACTACCCATTTCTCAGCACACTGAGATCAGGACCATCGGTTTTTCCAGGCAATCTTTCATTCATTCATTCAGTTGATCAATATTCATTGAGCACAGTTATGTGCCAGGCACTAAACTATGGGCTTGTGGGAAGGATTTGTATGTGCAGTGCTTAAAAAAAAACCCAAAAAACGAGTTCCTGCCTAAATTAGAGAAAATTGTGGTCTTCATTATGAAAAAAAGAAAATCTCCCTAATGATTCCTACACAATTCCCTTAACCAAAGTTTTTAGAGAGAAAAATAGAGCAAAATTGGAGAAAATTGCAGGAAAGTAGGGTGGGGGGAGGGATTAGGGTTTCCAGGTAAAATATAGGGTGCCAAGTTAACTTGGAATTTCCTATGAACAAAGAGTAACTTCTTGGTGTAAGTATGTCCCAGTGCAATATTTGGGGCACACTAAAAAAATTTTCACTGTTCATCTGAAATTCGAAGTGAAATAGGCATCCTATATTTTTCTTTTTTTGGCCTCACAGCTTGCAGGATCTTAGTTCCCTGACCAGGGAGCAAACCCGTGTCCCCTGCAGTGAAAGCTTCGAATCCAAACCACTGGACTGCCAGGGGAGTCCCAAGGGCATCCTCTATTTTTAAAATTTATTTTGCTAAATTTGGCAACCCCAAAGGGATGGGGCTGACATTTACCGAGAGCCCACTGCAGGTGTCGATTTTCTACTAAGCACTTTACTACATGAATTAATTTTCTCTTCACAGAAAGCCAGTGAGGCTGGGGATTGGTAACAATCTGTAGAGGCAAATATCCTCCAAAATCTATGGTGATCTTTATCAAGCAGCTCAATGTATTTACTTAATGGGAATTGAAAGAAAGAGGAATGAATACTTCGAAGGCTGAGATGGTTTTATGACTATTGCTGTATATTTGTCTCTTCTTAAAAGCAGCAAAAAATACAGTACTTAAAGACAATCTCATTCAGTAAAGATGCTAAAGAACCTGCTTGGCCTTCAAAGGGAAGAGATGCTCTAAGATTAAGTCATTACACTGATGCTTCATCATCTGTGCAAGTTGTGATTCAGAGCCCTCTGGCAATAATGAGACAACACGTTTATGTGACATAAATATCTCTGAACACTGGGGGATAACCAGAGAACATAGTGCTGTGTTAAAATGGAAAAGAGGTGTTTTGTTAAGAGCTTTTTCAGCAGGGAATAAAGTACTGATGGGGGAACTGAGCTTCAATTTACAACTAAGGATCACATTAAACATACATTAAGATGATTACAATGAAGCTTATTTGTAACCATTATTATTTCATTTTATTTAAATGAATGGGGGCTTAATAAGAACCACCAAGTGGGCTGCAGTGTTTAAAATCTTCTACCTTCTCTTGCTAATCTGTAAATTTCTACTGACAAACAAAAGGCTACTACTCTTAACAGGCTCCAAGACCAACAGGTCTGTTTTCCAATGAACAGAGGAAGCAATCAGCTTCAAAAACTGTCATGACCTTCAGAAAAGGTCATGGAAGCTCCTCCAGCCCCTTCAATATCACCTCTGAGATATCAATTGTCTCTGAGGGTGTGAGTACAGAGCCAGAAACTGAAGCAACTGTCTTCCTCCTTGTCACCTGAAGTGAGGTTGGCAATAAAAACCCTTATCTAATTCTCCTTCTTTCAAGATTTTCTCACCCACCCACCCCTTCATTCCAGAACCCTTCATTCTTAGTAGAATTTCTCCAGCTTTGACCTGAATGGAAGAGGGTACTTTGATTTGAAGCTGGGCGTACCCAGTAAACACAAGGTTTTTGTTTAGTGTGGCTACAGATGAATAAAAAGAGCTATGCTTTATGCAAATGTAAATAT